TTCAGATATTTGTTTACAAACATCGCATACACTTCGTCTCAACCTTTTTTTCTCTGACAAGGATAATAGGAAAAACAGAAAACAAATTTTTTTACTAGTAGGAGAACATAACATCTTTGATTCTAATTATCTCAATTTCCATAACACTTGCTCAAATACGGCCAACTAATAAAATATAGAAAATAAAATTTCACACATCTTACTAGTTAACAATTTTTTAATATCTGCTGTAGGAACCGAGATAATTGAATCAAAGTTTGTTCAACCTGTCGATGCACCATTTAGGAGAACATAACCTATTTAATCCGGATTATCTCAATTTTAATAGTAGCTACTTAATGGTAAACTAATAAAATATAGAAAATAAAATTTTACACATTTTACTAATTAACAACTTTTATTTTTTTGTTCTAAAAATCGAGATAATTAGCTTTATAACTAGCTGTCTTTTTAAAACCTTCTTTTCAGCCTTGCACACTTCCGCACTAATTTATCTCACTTATGAAAAATTATAGAACTAATTAACTAGTTGACAACTAGTTGACAACTTTTTGATATCTGTTGTAGGAATCGAGATAATTGAATCAAAGTTTGTTATAACCTGTCGATGATAAGATGGCTTCAAGCTCAATTATCTCGGTTCATGTAAAAGATACAACAATTTTGTCAACTGATAAAATTTTGGTAATATTATGATAAATGATTTATCGGTTGACAAATTTTTGATATCTCTCACAGGAATCGAGATAATAGAGCTCAAAGTTAAGGTATGAATAAATTGTTCAAACTTTCAATCTTGAGATTCCTTTAATACCCCTCTGATTGATAGACTATCCTGAGACAAACATCCAGAATGTCTGCGCGGAGATAACAAAACTTGTCTTATGACGTGATTAGCTTATCAGTCTTGTTTAATATAGATCACCTTGTTTTAGTCTAGTTTGGAGATCAAAATCTTTCAAGGGAAGCCCCACAATATGTTGCCGCGAGAGCCGCGTTTATCATCGCAGCCTTTCGTCTACATGTGTGAGTGTACGCGTGGTCGAGTGGTCTAAGCTTTTGCCTTCTGTTCGAGAGGTCCCAGGTTCGAACCCCAAAAGGGCCTAATCCTTTTTTTATTGTTTTCCAAAGTGTACAAGGGATATTATAGGCAGAATAAAAGGCATTTTTGAAGGTTTTTGAGTTTTTACCCAATACAATTTTTTTTTGATATTCTAGGCTGACAGGGGAACGTTCAATTATCCCGCTTTCTGTAAGAGATATCGAAAAGCTGAAAACTACAAAAGTGTTGCTGAAATTATGCCAAACATTTTATCAGTTGACACATTTTTGATATCTTTTATAGGAACCGAGATAAGCGTGAAAAATTCATCTAGGTTCCACGAGTTTCTGACTTATTTCCTTTTTTTCTCTAATAATTAACCAAACCTATAAAATCTAAACGTCCTTATAGATATGGTAAACTGATTTCCCATGAAAATTCCCCAAAAAAGAATTTCAGTCAATCGAAAAAAAGGTTTTCGATGTTCAACACTTTTGTAAGCGTCATTTGCAAATCAAAAACGATCAAATCTACACAAAATTCGAGCTTTTCTCACTCATCGATTTGATCATCGATGAGTTTCGAAAAGAGCCGACGCTGGCAGAAATCTCCCCGCCGGTTAGGATCGTCGGAGACATTCATGGGCAACACGACGATCTTGTACGCCTTTTGAATTGTAAAAATGAAGGAAATACTGCTTCGATTGATGACAGAAAGCCAAGCTATGCGTTTTCTACCAAGAAGTAAGGTTGTAAAAAGAAATCAAAAGAGTTTCAGAGGGGGCGGGGATTGAACCTGTGGCTTGTGGGGCGGTGGTCAAAAGCGTTATCCGGTACACAGGTCCTGGGCGCGCATACGCATAATGGATGGGCGACGGAGGACGCGCCGATGAATTGGGTACAGGGAAAGGACGCCGGTATGGGACATATACGGGGCATATGGGGCACACCGCCGCCGCAAAGCATCTCCTCGCCTGGCTTGCTGGCACTCGATGAAATGAACTAAAACGTTGGTTGGGGGTTCCTAGAAGTATCAGTTAAGTTCTATTGTGATGTGATTTTGTTCAGGTCTTCCGATTTCGTACTTTTCCTTTATTATTCCATATTCTTTTATATTTTGAACGACATATTACTGATTTTTCGGAAGTCACTGTTTTGATTTTGAAAAAGACTTATGGCAGTTTCCATTTAAATTTGATATGCAATCAAAATCAGAACAAAATGGGAAAAAATTCGCTAAAAATTGTTTTTTTTTTCATTTGTTCAAAAAATGTCTCACTTTCACTTTTTTTGAAATTGCATGAAAAATTGAAAATTTTTATAATTTAAACTTTGTAATTATTGTATACTTACCAACTTACCTTTTACTCCACCTGAAAATACGATTTTTACAATAATTACAAAGTGAAATCAAAAAAAAATCTCAATATCACCTATTTTGGCGAAAAACATAGCAATTGACGAGTGAAAGACATGTTTCTACAAGAATTCAGCGATTTTTTAGTCTGCCATAACTCTTTTTCACAAAAAACATCGAAGGAATAATCGAAAAACTAGAAATGTAGGCTCGAATTGACGAAAAATTGACAAAGTTGCCGGTGTGGATTTACGGTAAACAATGCGCGCATCCGGGATTTCGGAGTGTTGTAGTCGGCCTACCGTTTCAGACCCATATCGCACACATCGCCCACCCACCTAGAATCCATCTAGGATACGCGCGCATTCGGAACACTCGATTCAGCCTCTCCCGCATCGCACACATATGAGACTCATCGCAGCTCATTGTTCGCGATATGTGTCAAACGGACTTCTAGAGGATCGCATATGGATCGGGTCCTTTATGCGCATCATCGCCCAGGACCTGTGGTACACTAAAGGTGTCAGTAAAGAAGAGGGCGCGGTGGGCGTAGAGTACAGGGTGTCTTTTCGGAAATTTTGAGAGGGGAGTGGGGGAAGCGTGATTTGAAAATTGGAAGAGTTTCTTAAAGAAAAAAACGAATTTTCAGAATATTTTAGGCTTTGTTAAATATCTAAAAATAGAAATAGAAACCCAAATCCTTCAAATAATCCTTCAGAAGAAAATTTCCGAAACTTTTTACTCAAAAGAAAAACTCAAAAGCCTTCAAAAATAGACTCATTCTACCTATAATATGCTTTTTACACACTTCAAAAAACCATAAAAAGAGTTTAAGCCCCACGAGGTTCGAACCTGGGACCTCTCGAACGTCGGGCAAAAGCGTACACCACTCGACCACGCGTACACTCAAGCGTGAAGGCTTGAGAATGCAATGATAAACCTGGCGCTTACGGCAACTTTTCTGGGAACTTCCCTCTCAACTTTTTGAAAAAAATTTCACAAATTTGGATTTCTAGGCCATGACCTAATTCGAGGTTCTAGGCCACCAGAGGCCCTCAAAGTTTTCTTTTTTCCAGATGGGTCTTTCTCGGAGACTAGGATCGCGGCTACAACTCTCTGGAATGCATCTGTCTCGTTTTTTCGCTAAAAGTGTCTGGTGGCCTAGAATCCCAAATTTTCAAAATTTCGTCTTCCAGATCCTGTTTCCCAAGCAATACGTCCTTCTACGTGGCAATCATGAGACAAAAGTGATAAATTTCAGATATGGGTTTAGGGTAGGGTGGCCTAGATTTCCTAATTTTTTGAAAATCTCTTCCAGCACGAAATCCTCCGCCGTCTGACGTCGAAAAGAGACGCTCAGGAGGTTTGGGAACGATTCAACGACGCGTTTTCGTTTATGCCATTAGCCTGTTTGGTTGGACACAAAATTCTTTGTATGCACGGAGGAATTAGTCCGGATTTAGTGTCTCTGGATGCTATTCGAATGGTATGTCTGTGTTTCCCGGTGTCCAGATGTCTTATAATTTTTTTTCTCAAATTAAAATTTTTTTAAAGATTCAACGCCCGTTAATCGATGTTAACCATAATCGTCTAGCTCAAGACTTGTTGTGGGCGGATCCAGAGGATTTTGAGAGGTTTTTAAGAATTTTGATTTCCAGAAAATTCTGAAAATTCTGAAAATTTCAGACCCAACGAGGCTGCATTTTGTTGGAACAAAAATCGTGGGCTATCGGTTTGTTTCAATGCTCAAGCGGTGTCGGACGCTTGCTGAAGACTCAATGTCAACTTGATTGTTAGAGCTCATCAGATGATGCCAAATGGGTTCAAATTTTTCGCGGATCGAAAACTTTGCACAATATTCTCGGCGCCCAGATACATGAACGAAATTGATGTTTGAATTTTTCAAACAAATTTAAAATTTAAAAAAAAATTTAGAACGCCGGCGCTGTGCTGAAAGTTGCGGCCAACGGAAAGGTGAGCTTGATTATGATGCGGAAGTCGAAAATTCAGAGCAGGCAGCAATCCGAGGAGCTTACGAAATTGTAGGTTTTAAAATTTTTTACTTCCCAAATTTCCTTTTTTCAGCCCCGGCAAGTCTGAATACACATCGTTGGCTGAAATTGAGCGATTTTCAGAGGGGAATTAATTTTTAAAAGTTTTTTTTTTGCTAAATAAGTCGTTTTTTCTCTATATTTTTCTTGTTTTTTAACTCTAAAGTTCCCGAAATTGGAATATTTTTTAAAGGCGCACCGCTTTTCCTGGCTGGGTCTCGCAGCGCGCCAGGCTTGTGGACTCCTCTCGGACAAGAATTTTGGCCGCGAATTTGTTGAGAGTTTTTGAAAAAGTGCTTTTAAAATGGTTTTTCAGAAAAATTTCAGCAATTTTTTTGAATTTTCAGCACTTCAGAATGCTTCCCAGTACAACAGTCGTCTCGAATTTGCCATGGGTGGAGAAATATCGGCCGAGCAAGCTGAATGAACTTGTCGCACACGAACAAGTGGTGAAAACCTGTAAATTTTATAGTTTCTAGGGGTTTTTCAGCTGAAAAACGTGATTTGCAGTGACGAAATTTATCGAGAATCGCACTCTACCGCATCTGCTGTTCTACGGACCGCCTGGAACCGGAAAGACGACGACGGTGTTGGCGGCGGCGCGTAAAATGTACCATCCATCGAAAATGTCGTCGATGGTGCTGGAATTGAACGCTTCCGATGAGCGTGGTATCGATGTAGTCAGGTTGGGGGACTTGAAAAAATTTTTTGAAGGAAATTGGGAATTTTTCAGAAACACAATTGTCAACTTCGCTCAAACCAAAGGACTTCAAGCGTTTGCGAGTGCCTCGGACAAGGATAGCGTCCCGTTTAAGCTTGTGATCCTTGATGAGGCTGATGCGATGACCAAGGATGCGCAGAATGCGTTGAGAAGGTAAAAAATCGTTTTTAAAAAAACCCTTTTTTTTGTCTTGAAGGTGGTGTACAGTGAAATTTTTATTGCAAATGTGGAGAAAATCATGTAGATTGGCAAAAAAATAGCGAAAAATTCAAAAAAAAATCGAAGCGAAGTTGTATCTGGTGGCCGAGTAGGGGT